TCATAATTTGCTCTATGAGATGTTAAATATGTCTGCATGTTCATTCTTATATCTTTTATATACATTTCACATGGAAGACAGTTTAAAAAATTCAAACAAAACTTTGCAAAGCAGCATGATGTTCATAAGAAAGTTATTTTAATCTAGAAGTGAAAATAAACCTGTGAGTGGCCACCAGAAAGAGCTGGTGGGTTCAAACTGCTGCACTTTTGATTAGCAGCCCACATCGTAACCAATTATGCCACTAGGCCTCATGTTCCAACCTGGATGCTCTTAACCTCATATATTCTACGATAGTGAAGAATTTAGTATTATGGCAGAGACATTCTAGTTTAATCAAGTTTACAATGGATTTCAATATTTTCATGGTTAAAGTCCATTATCTTTTCTTTCTGTTTTTCCATGAAATTTGGAAAGCTCACTTGTATTTCTCATGAAAGATTGAGTCTATTTCTCAAGTATTCACTGTCAATGAGGGAAGATAGGCCAAAGCACAAATACCAGTGTTTAAAATAACTGTGGCTGATCATGAGAGAGGTAGCAACAGCTGACATCGGTGAAATGTTTATTAAGTGTAGTGTCCTATTCTATTTATATTTAAAACTTACAACAACTCTCTATGATTCAAATGATCATAACATAAAATTTAGAGATAAGACCTGAGGTATAATGAGCTTAAGTAACTTTTTCAAAGCCAGAGCCAAATTGAAACAAAAATTTCATGGCCATCAAGTCAATTCCAAATAATAGCTACCCTAGAGGGCAGAGTAAGACTGCCCCTGTTAATTTTCAAGAGGCACATTTTTATGGGAGTGGAAAGCCTCATCTTACTGCTGAGGAAAGCTGGTGGGTTCAAACTGCAGGACTTTTGGTTAGCAATTAACTCATAGTTTGTTATTCCACTAGGGCCCAAAATCTAGCTTTCATACTCTCATATATACTACCATGTTTCCCTGAAAGTAAGGCATCCCCAGAAAATAAGACCTACTTACAGTTTTGCCTCTTCCTGAAATAAGGCATCCCCCTGAAAATAAGACCTCCCTGAAAATAAAGCCCCCTGATAATAAGGCCCCGCAAAGCTACCGTAACTCTGGACTCTGTTGGCCACAGAGCAGCTGGAACAGACAGGAAGTGCGAGGTCTCTTTTAATCAGAGAGCCTGCGCTGCCGCCAGGACAAGCTGCCGCCTGCTGCTCGCTCTGCCCTGATGGATGGAGTCTGGCTGACTCACAATTAGATAGTGAGTCATGTGGGGCAGGAATAACAAGAAATTCTTGATACTGTAGGATTCACAGTTTGTCTGGTTATGCTGCTTTGTGATGACAACTACTACTATACTATATACAGCCATATACAGGTAAAATTTTTCCTTTTTTCTTGGTTCAACAATAAATGTATACCATATTCTTCTTCATGGAAAAATAAGACATCCCCTGAAAATAAAACCTAGCACATCTTTGGGAGGAAAAATTAATATAAGACATTGTCTTCTTTTCGGGGAAACAGGGTATTATGGAATTTTCTGTAGGAAAGAGAATAAGATACACTATACCCCAGATTAGTGGCACTGATTTCTCCATATTTTACTCAAATTGATTAAAAATGGCCCCCATTCTTTCCCTATCTTCTTCTGTTGAGGAAGGGATGGAGGCTGCCGAGCGGGCTAAAGTGAAAGAAGACACTGAACAGGGAAATTGCCTTTTTCTGGTGTTGAATTCCTTGAAACAGAGATCTGGATCCACACTGGCTTCAACCACTATCAGGACTAGAGGAAAGAGGGTTGTTGCTCTTTGTGGTTGAGTTGATTCCAACTCATAGTGACCACGTAAGACAAAATAGACCTGCTCCTTAAGGTTTCCAAGGCTATCATATTTTGGGAAGCTGACTGCCACATCTTTTACCTGCAGAGTTTTTGGTGTATTCAAACCATCAAACAATTAGATAACAGTCCTCCGCTTAGCTACTATACCACCAGAGCTTATTTAAAAGAGGGTAAAGGGGTGGGGGGTACTCTTTTGCTTTACCAAAAGTGATACCTGCTTTCCTCCAATACACATGCCTCATTTTAGGAGCATGGCCTGTGAGTTATCACAGATAGCTCAGAAAAGTGCTACCCCCAAAATTATTTCAACGCAGGTTCCTATCTGGTCTACTTTTGTTCTATAGATGTAAATAAGCATACTCCCAACAACAGGTATTAAGTACAAGCTGGGACACAGAGACCTTGGGGGCCATTGTTTAAAATTTCAGGTGTCTAAGGCTAAGGGAGCCAAGGAGGAAGAAAGATGGGAGGGAGAGGTTGCTGAGGGAGTGTTTTGAGTGGCTTACACCAGAAATGGCCCCAGGGGAGGAACTTCTAAAATAAATATTCCTATTATCCAGGCTTTTGTTCTGCCTCTGAAGATGTGATATTATTTTCAAACTCTTGAAAAGGCCAAGGATTCAACACTCATGACTATGGTACTGAAGAGTTGGAGAGAATCGAATTTCAGGCGAGTGAGCATATCCAGTTAATCTCTAGGCAGTCACTGCAGAAACATCTAGGGCAGGATGGGGACCAGTAAGTAGTAGATCTCTTTCTCAGACAGAGAAAAGCAATAGTATTATCTGCCAAGACAAGAGGGAAATATTATGAGTTCTAAAATATCCCTGACATTTCTAAAAACTGGCATCTTTAAATATTTTCTCCCAGATATGTAAACTAAGGCCAAGGAGAGAACTTTAGAAATACAAGACAGAGAGGATTATGGAAGTAAATTGAAGATGCGCAGGCTTGGGTATAAAATTATGTGTTTCTAATTTTCTCTTTCTTCAAATCTGAACTTCCTGGCCCTCATTCTAACCCTGTTAAAATGCCCAAGGCTATGTCCTACCAGAAATCCAAATGAGCCCCCAGCATAAACTCTCTTCTAAAAGCTTGAGGAGAGGGAATGCTATAATCATCAGAAGGTCCAAAGAATTTCTAGAGCACTCATGATCTGATGAGATAGATGGTAAGCTATATCCATATTAACTAGTTTATAACCTGGGCTGTGTGTATCTCTGTCTCAAAGACAGTGATTTATACAGTTATGTGTCTCCAGCGGGGAGGAGGCCTGATGGTTAAGTGCTTAGGTGATAATCACAAAATAGGTTGTTCAAACTCACTAGCCACTCCGAAGAGGAAAGATGTAACAGGCTGCTTCCCTAAAGATTATAGTCTTGTGAATCCTATTGCAGTAGTTCTACTCTGCCTTAGAGGAAGGACCACTCAGAGCTAGAATAGACTCAATGGCAATGGGTTCTGTTTTGTATCCTTAGCATCTAAAAGGGTACATCAAATAGTTCAATGGCATTTCATGGATAATATTGAGTTTTTCTAGATGTATATCTTATAAACACCCTTCAGTTCTTTCTGGGTGCTGGAGACAAACAGATATTTATATAAGTAATCAGCTCTCCTGTGGGAGATGTATCAATCTAGTAGCTTTGATAATTTGAGAGGCTAGGATATAAGGTGGTCAGTCAATTTGTGTATATAGTCAATTAATGGTGCTAAAAACCAACAGAAATTATATGTTAGACATTGTGCCAAGAATTAAGTATAGAGAATAGATATGTGGGAAGTTAAGTAGATAGAATAACAGCAGTGTGAATTATAAGTTTGATGTATCTAGAGAAATGGAGGTGGTTTAGAGAGTGATGAACAGCATTTATATTCTATATGTATATGTATGTACATGTGTGTATATATAATAGACCAGGTGGATAAGTGTTAGAGACCGAGGATGAAGCATCAGAAAAAGTAGACAATGGTCCAGGGGGAGATGAGAGAATCTATGGACAGTTAAGGTCTAAATGGGTTTTCTCTGTGGTTGCACATAGTCCTGAGTTTATGTGACAAGATTTGAGACTTGGAACTTTGCTCCTAATTAATAAAAGCCTAAATCCATCACAAGGTGGAGCCACTGGTAGTACAGGAGTAACTGCAGAACATACAGAATCTCATGTACCATAAAGACTACACCTAATACCAACATAGTTTTTCAGTCATAATAGAAGAGAGATACAGCAAGCCCAGTTGCCCTCCTAACTACTACTGAAGTCCTCTGTACCTGGTCTTCCTTGTCCAAAGTGGCTACAAAGAACGCTGCTGTTTGTTCAATGTTTCACCTACTTATCACTCATTTCCATCTTTGCATCTTCAAATTGATAATATGGCAAGTCATTGGACAGATATCATTAAATAATGCTCTCAAATGCTTATAATAAAATGCATTTTTATTACCTATCTTGTATTGCTATAATGAGATGTTAGACATTTTTTGTTTCAGTTCACACCAGTAACTCTGGTATTACAATGCTAGGTCATATGAATTCACAGGTTTATCCATTTTGGAGATCTACAGAGTTATATAATTACTCAAAATCTCTAGAACATCAATTAATTTCCTCCTTTATTTAAGTATGTAATTCCCTAAAATCAATTAAATTTATAGTACCTTATTTTTGTATACTTAAATATTTACTTTGTCTTAGGGATTGTATGTCTGCTCTTCCAATACTGTTTAGAACCATTTTATAAATTGACCTTTTGGTCTCATGTTGTGGGATATCTATGATTCCCAATACCTAGGAAACCTCAATACCAGCAGCCAAGATAGAGATCCCCAAAAGAAAAAGCCGTAATGTTTTGCTTAATTGTAGCAGTCAACAAAAATGATTTCTTCTTTAATTTGTCTTTGTTTTCTCAGTCCTGCAAGTGTATCCCCTATGTCTATCCCACATATACTGACAGCTGTATCCCTAAATATTTCCCAATAGCTTTATATGTAATAAACTGAATAATTGCTCATGCAGTGTATTTTCCTATATCTAGGACTTTCCAAGGAATGATCGATTTATCAAACTTACTATTGTTGGAAGTCAGAACAGATGGACAACTTATGAACAGGTAGCACACTCAATAGAGGATTGTATTGCGGTATCTGGAAGAAAGAATTTTCTTTTATAAAGCCCACAATGGGGCTCAACACCACTGATTTGCCCTTCTACCTGACTGGCTTCCCAGGCATGGAGAAGGCACATCCTTGGATTTCTATTCCATTACTGGTTGTCTACATGTCCATAATTTTGGGCAATGGCATCCTTCTCTTTCTCATCAGGGATGACCATAACCTTCACGAACCCATGTACTATTTCTTAGCTATGCTGGCAACTACAGACCTTGGGGTGACTCTGACCACAATGCCCACAGTGTTGGGGGTCCTGTGGATAAATCACAGGGAGATTGGCCATGGAGCGTGCTTCTCTCAGGCCTACTTTATCCATACTCTTTCTATTGTGGAATCAGGTGTCTTGCTTGCCATGGCTTATGACCGTTTCATTGCCATCCGCAACCCTCTGAGATACACCTCTATCCTTACCAACACTCGGGTGATGAAGATAGGAATAGGAGTATTGACAAGGGCTTCGCTGTCAATTATGCCAATAATTATTAGACTTCACTGGTTTCCTTACTGCCGATCCCATGTACTCTCACATGCTTTCTGTTTACACCAAGATGTTATCAAGTTAGCCTGTGCTGACATCGCCTTCAACCGTCTCTACCCAGTTGTAGTTGTGTTTGCAATGGTGTTATTGGATTTTCTCATCATCTTTTTCTCTTACATTTTGATACTCAAGACTGTCATGGGCATTGCTTCCGGGGAAGCGAGGGCCAAGGCCCTCAACACTTGTGTCTCCCACATCTGCTGCATCCTCGTCTTCTATATCACTGTAGTTGGTCTGACATTTATTCATAGATTTGGAAAGAATGCTCCTCATGTGGTCCACATCACAATGAGTTATGTCTACTTTCTTTTTCCACCCTTTATGAACCCTGTCATATACAGCATTAAAACCAAGCAGATACAGAGTGGTATACTTCGTTTATTTTCTCTTTCTCATTCTAGAGCATGATTTCAAAACAATATGCTTTGAGGAAAATTCTGAAAACCTTAAAGACTGACAGCTTTGTTGATAAGAACAACCTAAAAAGAGGCATTTCATTGAAAATGAATTGTGCTGCCATATAAAACATCATTTGACACGGCCTATTTGTTGCTGTTATATGTAGTATTAGACATATGTAACTTTATATAATTATATGTAATTAAAGAAAAGGCTTTGTTAAGTTTTTGAAAAAAAATAATTCTTTTAATTCAAATTTCCATGAACTTTATAAAGCCCTCTCTATAATTATATTCAACTAATCATATACATAAATGTAACTATATGTAAATTATGTATGTATGAATATTTTACTATTTGTGTTTATGTATGTATAACTATTGGGGCTACTGACAGCAAGGTCAGTAGTTCAAAGCTATCATCTGGTCTATGAGGGAAAGATGAGGTTTTCTTCTCTTCTACAGTTCCAGTCTTGGAAAACCACAGGGACAGTTCTGTCCTGGCCTACAGGGTCACTATGAGTCAGCATGAATTCAATGGCAGTGATTGAGAAAGAGTGAGTGATATATGTTTTTGCACATAAATTCATATACATATAATTAATTAAGCACAAATTTCAAATTCTGAACTGTTGTTTATAGTTTCTTTGGATAAGTCACTTCGTTTGGCAAACCTACAGACACTCCTGGTCTCTAGCATGGATCAACAGTATATGAGTCAAGACTTAATGGTTTTCCATATAATTTACATATACAGATCCTGTTCTACCTAACAATAAACCTCTCCTCTCCTCAGACAGGCATCTAGCTCTCTCACTTACACGGGTCTGGTTACTTTTTCTTAAAACATTGTACTTAGTGAAGTAATAAATCTTATTCTGTCTTCAATTACAGATGGTAACTCTGGGAAAACATATCCATAAGAAGTTGGTTCAGTTAAAAGTTTGGATAAAAAAATAATTATAATAGTCTGTTCCTGATCCAGATGGCCATTGTCTTAGGGGTTAGTCCCAGAGAGTGAATATGTATTTTCAGATAACAGGGAAGTATTTGAGGCCTAATTTGGAACTCTGCCATAGATAAGTTTAGGTGAGTATCCCTGAAATACATAAAATCCTAGGGTTAAGAAAAATTTGGCTCTATGTGTGGATTTAGGGAGATCAGGGGAGGATAGAGTGGATGCTCATAACTGACAGATCATTTTACTATGCCTCTAAGTATCGATCAAGGATTGATAGGGTCTTCTGCATGGGAGATATGGGACATGGTTCTATGGTCAGCTGAAGAGTTGCTATCTGTGATTCAAATGACAGATTATCCAACTGAATCACACAAGGAGTTACAATAGAAATAACATCTGTTCCCTGAGTCCTATTATACTGACAATACAAGTGACACCTAATAATAGCACCCACTCTTAGTTACATGAGGTAGCGGGAGGGGTGGCGACAGAACTCTTGGGATTTAAGAAAACATGGAGAAAATATATTTGAAAACATTTTTAGGGCACTTTCCGTGGTAGTAAATATGTCTGATCAGCCCAAGGAATTGTGTTCTACTTTTATTTTCCATTCACTCAACATGACTGTGCCTACCAGCCATTATTTTCATTTTTGCTCCTTTCATAGCTTCAAGCATGCCTTCTTCTTGGGAGTAAGCATAATACGTCTTATCTGCTATCACAGAATCTGACATATGACAGATTCTTCTGAAATAAAATTATTTATCAAAATGAGTGAGTTTTAAATTAATCATGTGTCTCTGTGTGCCTCCTTGTTCTTCGTTCCACGTCTCTGGCTGTACTTTGTCACTGTGTGTCACTACACACAACTATACCTACTAACTTAGGCTATTTTGTCATCTAATAGCCTCAAAAAAGATAAGATGACAGTTCTTGATCTCAGAGCCAAGTCCTTCCTTGTGACTGAGGATACTTCAAGGGGGTCTTTGCCACAGCAAAATAATTATTTCTTGACTTTCCCTCTAGTCCCAGTAATAGTGGGCCCTGAAAGAGCAGATGATTGAGCAAGGGATTAGAATGACCATGTACAATCTCTACAAATGTGCATATTTGACTGATAGCTCCCAGGCACTTCTCTTCTCTTCTGACTGCACTTATCCTACATAGATCCGATGGAAGGATTAGAAAAGGGTGTTAAAAAATGATACCGCGGGCTCAATTAGAAAGAAAATGTTTTGAAAATGATGATGGCAACAAATGTACAAAAGTGCAAGAAAAATTGGATGCATGTGTGGATTGTGATAGGAGTTGTATGAGCTCAAAATTTAAGGATTTTTTTAAAGGTGTCATGAGGAAAAGAAAACTAGACGGAATAAGTCCAATTTCCTTTTTATTAAAGTGAATCTTATGAAATATAAAAGAGTTCAGGGATCTTTGTGACCCCAGCTAAGTAACTCAAGAGTAAGGACAATGTGGAATAGGTGAGGAGAAACATTACTAATAGATAAAATAAATGTGTCATTCTCCTTCTCAAATCCATATATGCCTCACTGGAGAACCAAGGTCCTGGAAGTTCTCCAAAAAAGATGTAACAATTGGTCACTTCCATCTTCCACTCTAATCTGTATTCTTTGATACCTTAATGTTAAATTTCAAATTAATTAGCTTCTAGGTAACAAGGCTAATGCCCAAACCCAGATACCAAAGCCCCACAGTCCCCAATGGTAGAAATAAGCCTTGGGGAGAAGTTTCTTAAATAAATCCTCTTTAAAACATGACTTCCAGGTATTCCAATAGGTGATATTGGAGCCAAGTGTTAGACCAAGCTCAAAGTTCCATCCATGGCAAACATAAGAAAAAGAAAGCTGATGAACAGGTCAGTGAAGAGCTCCACTCTGCCTAGTCATTGAAGTATCACTTGGGTGATGGGCATGTCTAGAAGCAGGGATTTAGAGAGCAGATTATCATAATTCAAAGACAGAAATGGCAGTAATAAAATTTTGAGATGTGATGAAGCAAAGAAGTTATCCCAAACCAAACGTATTGCCGCTGAGCTGATTCCAACTCGGTGGTGATCCTTTAAGACCGAGCAGTACTCAAGGCTGCACATCTTTGTGGGAATAGACTGCCACATCTTCCTCTGCCTTGTGATTGCTGGGTTTGAATGGGCAACTTTTCAGTTAGCAGCCAAGTGTTTAACTACTGAGACACCAGGGCATTTTAAGACGTCCCTAAGGTTCCCCAAAGTCGCTTGGCCTGCTTTCTGAAATATCTCTTCTTGTGGATTCTTGAAGGAAGAAAAACCCTAAATCTGCTTGCCTTTCCCAACTAGGAGCACAGAATAGGGAAATGATAAAATTGAAATTCATGGGGACAGTGAAAGATATTTCTAGAGTATTCCATGACTTTGTGGTAGATTATCTGTTTTGTTTTTTGCTGTCTCCCACTGTTTGAATATACTTCCACTCTTCCCCCATATGTTCCATCAGACATTTATTCCCCTGAAGCCAAATCAGCTTGCAGAAGGAAGAAAACTCTGTAATAACTAGGGATATAGAAGTATCTTAATAGGAAGAAAATTTACCATATAGAATGGGCTTAGATTAAGATAGATGCAGACTTTGTAGAATTTGACATTAGAAACTGTGTTAAAGTTGTTTCCTATTTCCAGAAGTGAGTGTAGCATGCAGCAGGCAGTAAGTGAAAATACTGCTAAACTGAATGAATGGGACATTTTTTTTTTCATTTCATTCTATTGAGTTTTAGCTCCTGAATATTTTGAAGGTTTCTTAACCTGCTTAAGTATGAATGGTGGAGATTGTGAAAGAAGAGTAGGGTGTATAGAAGGAAGATAGTCATCACTTTCACTAAAGCAAAATGTAACTCAAGTGAAAATTCTCCTGAGTGCTACAGGCAGAAGTCCCTTCCAAGTCAATATTCATTAGTAAGAAAGTCAATAATTAAAGGCAGCTGTTGGGCAGTTGATACCCTTGGAAAAAAGCAATCATGATATGATAGTTCTTATCATGAGAACATAGTGATTGACTCCTCTCTGCTGGATGTTATGTATCAGGATAGGTCATATTATTAATTATACATTGTATGGTCAGGTGAGTGAACAGAAGATAAGAATGGAGGTTGAAAATCAGAGTAGAAATGATTGACCCAAGGAAAGGAAGATTTTGTCAAGTTGTTTCTTTAATAAGTACCTAGGCGATGGCTCCCATGAAAAGTTACTTAATGGAAGAAAAGACCAAGAATGTCTTCTTGAGATCTCCAGGTGTGGGGAACTAACTACTTGGAGGAATTAGTTGTTAATCAGTATAAGATCTCAAAGACTCCCCCAAGTTGGGTGTTTATGAGGTGGTAGCCGATGTTCAAGGTCATGAGGCGAGCCTTAGAATTATGAGTCTTCCTTCCAAGTTATGCCATTGAGTATATGGCTGTCATCATCAATAATTTCTCCAACAATCTTCACACACACACACACACACACACACACACACCATCACTCAGTTCCACTAAGTATGCCATTACTTTGAAAAAGCATAGGTAAACATTCTGATTAACTTAGTACGAGGTTGAAAATATTCACATATTCTACAGAGATGATAATAATTCTGGAATCCCTCTTGTTTAACTAATGCAGTCAAAGAAAATAGTGACTCTGCATTTTGACTGTCAGAGGCTTTTGAAAATTGGAAAATAGGGATCTTAAGGATATTATATTTTAAAAAACAATGACAGCATGCAAAATGCACAACCCATTGTTGTATGATGGTAAGTAATTATGATTTCTAGCTGTTTTGTTCCCTGCTGCCTCCATAGGGAGCCCCAGCAGCACAGGACATGTAGCAATGCCTAAGGTTGTGCAAATACATGAAAGCGCTTCCAAAATTAATTAAAAAGAAATTTTATGCAGGTCTTTGAAAATTACCTCACACAACCCAGACTAACCTCTGTCAAAGAAAAATAAGCTTAGCATCTTATTATTTCTTCTTTTCTGAACCCTATCAAGGCAGTTTTCCCAATACCTAACCACATAAGTG